TTCTTTATCTTTGAATACTATGTGTATATTTATGAATTTAAATGCATTGCAGGTGTTAAGGAGCACATCAGAAAATGTTTTTGTCCCACTAACAGTTGGAGGTGGTATATGAGATTTTACTGATGCAAATGGGAGGTATACCGCTGTTTTATACTATGATCTGGTTTTGGTATCTCTTACTACTAAGATTTGATTTCTGTTCAAATGATTTGTTAGGCATTCCCTGATTCTGCAGTTCTCAGTGGTCTTTTTGTATTTACCTGACACAATTTTGTAGTAAGTTTATCATAGATGTATATTCAATATTGCTTTTTCAGGTACTATTCTAGTTTGGAAGTTGCTTCAGAGTATTTTAGGTCTGGGGCTGATAAGATATCCATTGGAAGTGATGCAGTTTATGTGGCAGAGGAGTATATAAAAACCAAAGTGTGCAATATGACCATTAATACTTGTAATATGTGGAGTTGAGATGTTTATGCACATGCGTATTTATAATTCCTAATAGTTCTGTAAATGCTTCTTTCAGGTAAAGACAGGAAAGAGCAGCTTAAAACGATTTTCTAAAGTTTATGGAAACCAGGTGATCCCTATTCTTGTTTTTGATGTGTAGATGCCCGCAATCATATGTATGTATCCATATATATTTTATTAATCTTCCATGGGCTGATTTTGAAGTTCGTCCTGCTTGTTTATTGATATTTACTATAAAATGATACAAAGAAGTATTTTAGAGGAAAAAATGTTAAAGAACAAAAGGAACTGACAAATTTTTGATGGTCGATAGTTGTGTTGGACTTGGGTGTGTATGTTGGACACATGCTCTTGTCAAACACGACATGTTTGATTTTTTCCATGCATTTAGGAGGTCATATCCTCATACCTATGTGTAGATATACTTCGAGCACATGTGTTGCAAGAAAAATTATGATCATTGTTTTTTACCCATCCGACCGGTGTCAGTTTTGTTGCTAATTTTTGCCATTACATGTTGTAATTGAAATTTTGATTTATCATTTTGGCCACTTGATCATATTTGCAGTATGAATATTGAACTTTTTATGAGTTGATTTAATGTTTATTTGACAGGCAGTGGTTGTAAGCATTGATCCTCGTAGAGTGCCTGTTAAATGTCCTAATGATGTGCAGTTCAAGACTAAACGGGTCACAAAACCAGGTAAATAGATATTTTACTTTTATTTACCATTCATCTGAAATTTACATTTTGTCCACGGAAAATTCTGCTGCGTGTGAACAAGAGAGAATATCTCTGATGACATTGTCTGAGAAAGTTCACAAGAATGATTAGAACGTGTCTTTTTGGTGTCAGGTCCAAACGGAGAAGAATATGTTTGGTATCAGTGTACGGTAGGGTTCTCTTTGCTTTCTGCACTTTTGCATTATCTGTGATAAAGCGTTTATCTGCAAAGCTTTTTAAACTAATGGTATGCGTTAAGTCATATAAGTAGTTCTTATTCAAAGCAAGCAACTACCTCTCGTAAAAGCAAAAAAGAACTCATTGAATACTGAATTCCCTCCAACAAATATTAATCAGTCACAAGACTAACAACCAATCTAAAAGCACACTTAATGCCTATGACCCAAATGCATCCAGCATACAGGGCAAAAATTCTTCTTAGATAATGTGGTGGGGAAAAAGATCGACTCATTTAGGGTGTTGGGAAAAGTATTTGCTGAGATAGTGTGAATGATACAATGTTGGTAGGAAGACATACGGAAGACACGGTGTCTTTGGAAAGATGAATGGAAGACACTACGTCTTCCCTGGGATGTGCATGTAGTTGGAACGCCAAGCCTGACAGAGTAGCAATCCAAAAGATGCCGAGTGGTCTAGGCGTCTTCCCAAAGACGCCAAGTAATCTGCGCGTCTTCCTATTTTCACTGTAGCAAACATCCTATTTCAGCAAATATTTCCCCCAACACCCTACATGAACCGATCTTTTCTCCCAACACATTATCTAAGGAATTTTGTCAGCATCCATTCATGTCATCCCAATTATATATGTTCACAGATCAATGGGCAATCCTTGGCTTAAGTAGTTTTTTTATTTTCTTTGCTTCCGGAAAATCTAAAGACAGTGTATGGGTTTTTAAAGATGAGAGAAGTAGCCAAACGTCGGATTTAGATGGGAAAGAAAATGCACGTGGAGAGGCATCAGATCTCGTCGAGAATGGAGAACATATGTTATTCAGACCCAAGGATTAATGTCTAGTATGGATGTGTCTAACACGTGTATGCTTTATTTATTCTATGTTTTCCCTTTCATTTGGAACTCTCACCATTATACCCATGTTCAAATATATATTAGACACCTTCAGAAAAAATAAAGCGTCGGAGTAACATAGTGAAGAACGAAGAGAGCTGGGAGAAAGGGATAATAATAAACAATGGGGGCATACGTATTAAAAGCTTGTGACCATTATATAAATTTCCTGAAATTTAGATAAAATCTAAATGTGCAAACATATCTAAAAAACCATGGTAGGAAAAGGCAATTAGCTTGAAGGTGCAGATTAAATAATGCGATGCTACAAGGAACAATAGCATAAGGGAGCACTAATTTCTATAGTTCAAGTGCAAGTTAAAGTACGCTAATATAAAAAAAAAATCAAATTACTGAATGATATCTCGCAAAGCTCAACATGCAAATCTTCCTTGCTATTTCGTACTGCACTTAAAAAGTGATAATATTTCCTTGAATCAAAGTAGTCACTGCATTCATTAACCACCATACGGCCTTCTAAAATTATACTCCCCAATCCCATTATTTTTATACCATGTTGATCAAGCACATAGTTTTATGAGATAAGTTTGATTACATGTTAAGTTATATAAAATGAGAGCAACGACAAAATTACTCCTAAAAATTGATTGATAGGTTTAATAGATTTATTTTGATAAGTGAAAAAGAATGTGACAAGTAAGGGTAAAAAAGAAAATACAAGTGTGTTATTTGTTAATTTTTCCAACAGTAAAATTTGAATGGAAAATTTTAAAAATCAAAATGGGCAAATTTAGTGGGATAGAGTGAGTTTCATTTTGCACAGTAACTGTAGCAACCCTAATCCTGTCACATTAGTACGGAATGTTTAGCTGCTTAGTGTATTTATGAATAATAGGTAATGATTAAATGTCCATTGCTTTGCTGTTTGTATGTCAGAAGTCTTCAGTTTTTGCATATCTTGAATGGGCTTTATGTTCCTAAGGTTAATGGTGGACGAGAAGGTCGACCAATTGGAGCTTATGAGGTTGCAAAAATTGTCAAAGAACTGGGAGCTGGAGAAATACTATTGAACTGCATCGATTGTGATGGTATAAACGATTTCCTCATCGCTCATAATTCCCCTTCATAAGTAGTTGTTAATAGCACGACGTTAAGATTTCAGATTATCCAGTGTTGTTAAGTGTGTCTAGGCGCTAGAACTCTTGCATTGCTTTAGGCGCTAGAACTCTTGCATTGCTTTAGGCGCTAGAACTCTTGCATTGCTTTCGGCGCTAGAACTCTTGCATTGCTTTCGGCGCTAGTCTTAGTGAAGTAAAGCACAATATATATATATGTGTGTGTGTTTATGCGCGTCAATATAACGATAATAAACTCTGAAGTGTTTTTCAATCATGCATGCTTGATTGAGTTTGATACTATTCCCTTCTTGATATTAAAGGTATATCTAAGGAAATAAGTAAAAAATTAAAGAAATTAAAGAGAAGTTCAATCCGGCGGACTTTTTTTATGCCCGTCACCTTACTAAAAAGCATGCTTAGGTGAACTAGGCTTGAGCCTAATCAAATGTTTATTGCCCGAATGGGTCTGTGGCACCTTTGTTCTGTAGTGCGCAGGCACAGACGCTTGAAGCATGCCTTTACAACTTTGCAATAATTGCTCTTTTTGTTTAGAAATCATCAAGAGTCATTTCTTTATATTTACAACTGATGGTCAAGTGCTATTGACAATATCCAGATTATGCCAATCTTCTCTGATAAATAAATTGTTATTTTTGGTTTCTCTCTAGTATTATCAAACGTGTCCATGGTCATCAAAAGTAAAGAAGACTCAATATTATATACTTGTGATTTTGCTATGTAACCTAGTAGAATATTAAGCCTATTCTTCTTTTGTTTGTTTAAATGCCTACTTGCTGACTTTACAGGTCAAGGAAAAGGATTTGATATTGATTTAATAAAGCTGATTTCCGATGCTGTCAGCATCCCTGTAATTGCAAGTAGCGGTGCTGGTGCTGTTGAACACTTCTCGGAGGTATTCATGAAAACAAATGCATCGGCTGCTCTTGCTGCTGGCATTTTCCATAGGAAAGAGGTAATTATTTAATATGTTTTTTTAAGTATCAGTTTTTACCAGCATGATGGATAATTAGATAAATTTAAACTTCAACAATTCTCTGATTTATTGGGTTTTAGGTGCCCATTCAGTCTGTGAAAGCACGCTTATTGAAGGTAGGCATTGAAGTGAGGATGTGATCGAATATGTTATCAAGTTGGTTAGGCCCTCGAAATTTTTGTTCCTAAAATCAGGAGTAAGTGTCGATATGCAAACTTCACATCTTATTTGTTTTTAATGTTTTAATGCATATTTGCTGTTCTGGGATTGATTTGAAAATATTTTTTTTCTTTCAGACATGAGTTAGAATTTTTATTACTGAACCATTAAGATAGTTCAAATACTGGATTCGGATATCTAATACTGCTATCCAAATCAAATTTTAAACATATTTGATATTCAAGAGTATTACCATTTGAATTTTCTCTGAATTCATCTTGGATATATATACGTGTGTGTATGTATATGTATTCTTTATATCGACTTTGTTGCTTGCTGCTGGTATCAACAGAAGGCACCATTATGTCATATGATTAACTGAACCAGACCATGGAGGCCGGATTACTGGAAGTTGGGATGATCTACACCAAAGTTTTCTTACTGAATAATTAAACACCACTATTTCCTCCCTATACATATATTAATAAATTGGAACTATGCCCTGGAAGCTTTCTTTTAATTCAAGTTCAATGTGGGGGTAAGGGTAAAAATATCAAGGTCCCCTATATCTCTGAAAACATAAACAACCCTGAGGTTGATCATGTGGGATCATCCCTCCTCCCTTGGATGTGTCTATACTCTCTAACATCGACACCACCTCATCCATCTCTGGTCGTCTGTCGGGGTTTGCATCCCAGCATCTCTTCATTACATTTGCAAGCGAGCTTGGACAGCAACGAGGTATCTCTGGCCTCAGATTCTGTAGTTTGAAAAGTTGATATTAGATTCAAGTATGTTTAAGTTCTTTTATATATTTAGATGATTGTGTTCTTTCATAACCATATCCGAATACTCTAGAACATAATATACAGTTGGCATAAAGTTTTCTCGGTTTATAGTTGTCTATGGTATTCCGACTCATTTTCTTTAAGTATTTGTGGTCGACATATCCGACATTAACACCTGATATAGGTTTTTGCAGCCGAGAAAATGAATAGGGATAGATAAATTTACCTGGCGGACAACAGCAGATGTGACTTCTGAGAAGCTTAGATCAGGATATGGCATGTCACAGCAGTATATCTCCCACAAACATATACCAAAACTATACACATCGCACTTTCGATTGTAGGGATTGCCATTAAGGACCTGTCTCAATTTCAGATTCATCGAGGTTAGATCATAAGATGTAGACAATGCTTAGAAAAGTCATCAGCATATGATGTCTATTTAACCATAGCTGAATTATCAAATTCTGTCCTCATGAATCTATATTGAAGCAAAAATCTATATGATTAAGGATCATCCATCTTGCCACACTTTATATTGAAGACCCTGCATTTGATAATTCTAGGAAAGCATATAAGCTGTAAATATACCTCTGGTGCCATGTAACCCAGTGTTCCAGTCTCTCCAGTCATGTCGTTAGGGTTCGATGCCTCAAGTCGAGCGACACCGAAATCAGCAATTTTCACAGTACGTGTCTTGTCCAGAAGCATGTTTTCGGTTTTGACATCTCTATGGACAATCTTCTTAGAGTGAAGATAGCTCAACCTAACAAAGTACAGAAAACCGCTAATGTTAGACAATATTCTGGGACAATGTTTCCTACAATTCACATTTCGAGTACAATTCGTATATTCATAGATCAGTAAGAACGAAATAGAGAATCGATCGGGTACTGGAATCTAACCCTCGTGCGAGATCTAGTGCCATTTGAACAACTACTTTAAAGGCAAGCTTCCTCCTCCTATTCTTTATCAGGTAAGATTTGAGTGCACCCCCGGGACAATATTCAACAACAACGCAACAAACATTACTTGGCATGACTATATGACCATTTTCCGTTTGTAAGTTCAGCTCTGATGATCCCACTGTCGCCCCTATGAACTGCATGGGATATTTAACGCACGGATTAAAGAGAAATATAAATTTTGACATGGTAATGGGGATAGTATCACCCGTAAACCCTCGTGGACAAACTCCTAAAGTATTGAATATATATTTGGGTTGTTCTTTTACAAGTGGGTTGGGTTGGGTCGGGTCATATCTTAGCGTCGGATATTGTCCGTGTCTGATAAGGTTATGGATATGCTTAATCGTGTCTAAGTTCTTTAATGTATTTAAAGGATCCTTGAAGGATCATATCTTCGAAGTTATGTTTAAAAATGTGCCTACACTTGTGTTCGACACAGTGTTTCAAGAGAAGAAAAAAGAGTAGTTAGCTGCATTTATTTGATTTCAAGGATGTGAAGAGAACCATGATACAAGATGAGAAAGAATACCTTTGTTACATTAGGATGATCAAGCTTATACCACACAACTACTTCTTGTGTGAAAGCTGCTCTGAGTGAGGCTATTTCAGCCTCTGATCTATGGCCCTCTTCTCCCCAATCAAGAAGTTTAACTAATCAACGATGGAAGAAATAGCCAGTTAGACAATTTAAATGCAAAGATCCCAACGTAACATCTATTTCTACTTTCGAAACACAATGTAACATGAAAAATCAACAGAGAATCATGAAATAAATGCCAAGGTAATTATTCTAATGATCAATCAAAGAACTACCAGTAAGTCCCAAGTATATTCAGCGATGGATGCACCAATTAAGTCCATGTTGATCATAGAAAAATACTTGGGTGTGTTGATGGCAACAAAGGGGGTTATATCAATTATAGACGGGTTATCCCTTCTAATTTGGGTGGAAAGTCGCAGCCGGTGATCGACTAGTAGTGTTGATGATTTAGATATGGATGAAATGTTGGCAAGAGAATGCTTAAAAGTCGAAGAAGAAGAAGTCTTTTTTTTTAAGAAGTCCTTTTTTTGCCTATCATTGTGGTTTATATATTTGACTCTATTTGCATGCTTGTGTTAAGTTTACAGTCATGATTGATATGCATAGGCCAACAGTATATAAATGAAGTCAATAGTTAACAGATTTGGTCATGACAAATTCTTGGGTTTATCAGAGGTCTTATTAAAGCTCTTGTCGAAAATTCTTGATTTCTATCATATTTCTCCTGAGACGATCATAGTAAGATGAAGAAAAAGTTATATTTTCGGAAGTAAAAGTACATCTACGGAAGTATAACAAGGTGGTAATTTAAGGGTAAATACAAGTCGAGGCCTCAACCTGCCCATGACCCTTTATCCGCCTTTGGATGGTATTTTTCTAGTAGAAGAGATGAGATGAGGTGTATCTGGTAGCTTTTCATGATTTCATTGGGACAATCTCTTCTAATTTTCTACCTTTTTATCTCAAAAAAGTTGAGTGCATAGCAACCATAAATATGGACACAGGAATGGTTAGGGAGGGAGAACATGATTTAAGTCACTGCAGGACTGCAACTAACTGCCACCTAAAAAGATAATCTCACGAGTCACGGATTTCCAGAAGTTAGATTTTGATCACAGACTGCTTTGTGAATCAAAATAACAGGAAATCTGTTTACTACAGTACTGAATTTATTTTCCATCTCATGAGCCCAAAAAACTCTGGGGAAACAAACAGAAAGTATGTCAAAGATTGATGTTACTTGTTGCTTAAGAAAGGGGCAATTGTATTAAAAATGGAGGATTCAAATTTGTGGGTTCTTTCCCCCTTTCCCTGCATTTTCTCAACAGCCAAACAAACTGTGAAATTAATTCATTTTGTTTTAACTTGTAAACCAAGGAAGCATGAAGTGATGGCCTTACCTTGAGTTCATAATGCATATCTTTGTAACATTTTTACCATGCGCAGATGGCTTTCACAGAAACCAAAAGATTAACAGAAAAACAAATGAAACCTTAAGTTTATGGATCAACAACTGAGTAAACAGTAATTTCAAGAAAAAATTCATTTTGAAAACAGTAATTTCAACATATCTGGAAGAGGAAATTGAGAGGAACAAGTGCATACCAGCAACATCTTGGCCATCATAAATACCACGGTGCACTGTACCGAACGTACCACGAGCGATGACACCTTTGATGACAAGCTTAGAAGGATCAATTTCCCACTCTTGTCTTCTCATGGTGTTGCTTGGCCTTAGCAGTTCGCCACCTCTGCCGACCCCAACGCTGCCTTCCTCTTTCATACTCTTGCTCTTCTCCAGTGTCCATGCTCTACTATGATGCCTTTGAAGTTGCTCATCCAAGCTCTTCAAATCTATTTGATCTGCTCTTACATAGCATCCTCCACCACCTTCACTTCTCTCCTTCATCTTCTGAATCCCAACTAAAAATTCACAGCTTTGTTCCTAAAGTACCAACAAATAGCAGCAATCTTTGGAAACTTATTCTTAGCTTTTCTTCACTAAAATTCTCTTGTTTGAGCTATTACTGATTCTGGGTCTCTGTTCAAAACAATCTACAAACAATAACTCAATGATAATCTTATATATATATATGGAAATCAAAGGTTGGGTCTTTATTTTGTTTTTGTTAAAGCTCACAAAAAGCCTTGTTGGCAGGGGCATATGGAGTCTGCTGCTTTCTTCTGCTGATTCCATCTTTCTAATTGTACTTGTTTTTGTTTTGGTTTTTTAAAGTATAAACTTATGTGTCAATTGTACCTTTTTCTTTAAATTGTTTTGTTTGGTTGTATTTGTAAGTAAAACCAACTTGCCCCTTTCCAATTTTATTTATGGTATACCAATTTGCCTTTCTTTAATATATTGAATTTGGCGACACCATTTCATTTTACTTGTTTGCACGCTAAATTTTAGAGCTATGTTTTAGAGGTAAATTTAAACTTTAGTAAGAGTAATATCTTGAGATTAATGTACATATTGAATTTTAGTTTAATTGATAATAATATTATTATAATTTAAAGGTAAAAATAATTGAGATCGCTTAGATATATGGATAGTTCTGGATTAAATTGAATTCAATTTTTAATTCATTCAAACTTGATTCGAGAATAAGTTCATTATTTGCACCTAATTTGACCAGTGACTAGGGTTTAAGGGTCTCACTTGACTCGAGACAAATTTGAATTTTGAGGTCAAAATTCGTACCCATTCGACCAATTTAACCTATATATATTATTTATTTTATTAGGTAAAAAGATATAATTAAAAAAATAATAAAGAAATGAGTAATTTTGTAATTATTTTTAAATATATAAATCATAGTTATAATATTTTCTCGGGTTTGATTATATATTTTTACTTTAAACTTGAATATGACCTTACTCGAATCTAATTTTTGAAGAATGAAAAAATCATGACCCAATCAGATCAAAATCCGTCGGGTCCAAGTGCGTAATCTTTTTATTAGAAAATGGCTTAATAAAAAAATAAGTGCATAAACTTTACCTCAAAAATCGATTTGATGCCTAAAGAATTTTTTGCTAAAAATAGGTGTCTAACGTTTTTCCAGTTACTCTTTTAAGTGTCTACCGTTATATTTTTTATTTTTAATAATAAAAATATATATTTTTAAAAAAAGTTTGGTTTATTTATAAAAAATCCCTAAAAATTTAATGAAATTATAAAATAAATTCTAAAAAACTAAAATATCTCATTTCAACCCTCATCATTATCAACCGTCACCGGTCATCTCCGTCCACCATCGTCGCCTAACACTTGGATTTTGATTGAAATTGTACGGTGGTTCGAATGGTGGTGCAGTATGACTTTTAGATGTCGAAGATCGACTGAAATCGACGAAAAACAACGACGGTGACTTAAAACCCAACAAAACTTTAATCGCTTCTATACGAAAACGGTGGCGGTTTACGATGAAAGATCAATGGAAGTTTAATAGGGGGTTGAAGTCGATATTGATGAAGGTGGTGGTGACAATCATGGTTGGACGGCCAACGATTATGAAAGGGGAAAGGGAGAAAAGGGGAGAGGGGAGGCTCATGGGCTGTTTGGGTGTTTGCATTTTTTTTAATAATAAAAAACATTTAAAAAAAATTCTTAAAAATAATAAAAACATGACACATGTCATTTAATAATTAAATTTAATTGTTGTTACTGTTCATGACCTAAAAGTGTTTCGATAAAAACGTTAGATACTTATTTTTAACGAAAAATTCTTTAGGCACTTGACGTTTTTTAAAACATAGTTAGGACACTTATTTTTATATTAAACTTAAGAAAATCGTCTTTAAATTTCCCAAATAGGGTTTGCGTGTCGTGAGCGAAAGAGGAGAAAGCGACCCTCAAAACCGTTATCTTTCCCATGAATTTAACACTAGCGATCTCTAACTGCATGAAGCACGTGAAGTTTTCCACCTTTCTTGACTTAATGCAAAGCAGTGATGCAAACATCAAAAGAAAATAGCTTGTTTTTAAGTTTTTAGAGAGGAGCCTGGAACCAGATGCCCCCCTCCCCCAATTGTTTCACCAATTATCCTCTTTTACTTTCATATATATATATATATATATATATATATCGTCTTCAAGTCAGTAACTGATCCAAGTGGAACATGAGAGGGTTTATGTCTCAAAATTTTAGTTTAATTTAATTTTATATTCTATAAATTTGAATATTAATCAAATTAAATATTATTCATAAATTTTAGTTAAGACGTTGTATATAATTTACCCCCTAAAAATACGTTTTAACTGTGTTTTAGTTGCATGGACCAAACAATCTCAATGGTAAATGAATTATTATTATTCCTTGAGGTCTTTGAGCATCATGAACGTCAGGGGTTGCATGGACCAAATGATGTCAATGGTATATGAATTATTGTTATTCTCTTTGAGAATTATGAATGTAAGGGGTATGAACATTCAATGTTAAATGATTGAGAATGTTTTTTTGAACATATATTACCTTGCATTTACCCATATTAATTAAAAAAAGCTACGTTCTAGTTGGAATAATTGAGAAAATAATTAGAAACCAACCAATAATGCCTGTGGTTTTGAGTTATCCTTTCCCAAGGAGAAACATTTAGTAGATTTCTAAGAACTATTTAAGAGATTCAAGTAGTGATGAGGTCCGCCAGCCATGACGCGGGTAATTAGGATTGAGGTATGTTTTTAAAAAATTAAACTAAATTGATAAAATGTATAAAAGTTAAATTCTGAATACATTAATTAAACCAATTTTATAATCAACATGCCTTTATTTATAATTGAGTGATAAAAAAATTAACTATAATTAAGTGATCCCTGATGTGAGTTAACCTGATAAATAATACTAGTACCCTATCTTGTCCACACCTTTGATTTTTCAAGTACTCGTAAGCCACATTTCTATCACACACATTCAAACATAGGTACAAGGTTTTATCATTTAGCAGCCGGAGTCGACAAATATTCCACATTTTGATACCTGAATTAATACGTTTTTTATATAGCATTTACGTCGTTTTGTTCAACATGGTATCTAAATTTGCAACACATTTTGATATCTGAATTTTACTAGTTGTATTTAGGTATGGGCATGGAAACCGATTAGGTCAGATTAGATTTTTTTTAATTAGGATTCAGGTCGGGTCGAATTTTTTAAAGGTAATGTTCATGTCGGGTCGAGTCAGGTTCGGATTTAGAGTGAAAAATACCCAACCAAACCTGGAAAAAAAATAATTTTACCTTATATTTAAAAATAATTACAATAATACCCCTCTATATATTATTTTTTTCAATTAAATCACTACTTTTATTGTATAAAACTAATATTTTTATTATTTCGGGTCGGTCGGATTCAAATTTTATCTCAAAAAGTCGAGTCGTATTAAGGTCGGGTGAATGATGTACAATTTTTGAGTCGGGTCAGGTTGAACCAAACCCGACTAATGCCTATGCCCATCCCTAATTGTATTAATACGTTAAATGATAAAGCGGCATTTTGCCAAGTGTCACGTCTTTGATTGTTAAAAATCCAAAGTTAAGTTCAGAGACTAAAATGTTTAACATTTGTCAAATTCGACAAATATCACATTAAAGAAAAACTAAAGAAACAGATAAAAAAATATCAAACACATTTAGAGAAACATAACTGAATAAAATTTTGAAGTTACGCACAATCAATAAAATAAATAAATAATCGAAGAAAATTCGAATTTTATGATATGGATCCACCACCGAACACGACTAAAAAGCATAGATACCACATTAGAAAAAGTGTCAATTCGGTACACCTACTTATGATGAAATTTGAATACTTACCCTATACTCTTGTCTCGGTGCTCTCCCATCCAAGGTTTCAAATTGCGGTCACGGTAGCGTTTTCGGTCATTTCGGATTTACCGTGATTGCGGCCGTCGCAGACACTATTGCGGGTTTAGCGGGTAACTCGGACGGCAACGAAACAGCTATATCGCGGACGAAATTGCGGTCACAAAACATTTTTTGAAACCCCGCTCCCATCTACATAAGAAACACATGAATTTGTCTGAACATGATTAGTACCATGCTGCTATAAAAAATTATAACAAGTATTCTCAAAGCAAACATCCACCCGATCCCGGAATTTCCCGTGCACACATCATGCAGAAAGGTAAAATTAGGTAAGAACTCGCCATTCTGTCAACATTAGTAGTAGACTCTTACCTGGCAAAAGGAAGAAACCAACTTGTCCAGAGACCACGTCATTCACCAAAATTTATCAGATAATGGCAGTTTCAACCTGTCTTGAACATTTACTCAAACAACTGGATGTTGTGCTCTTATATTTGTTGAGCTCAAAGTGCTCAACCTAAAAAATAACCATAAAAAGATGAAATGTGAGAACTTCTTTTACGACGTGCAGAGTGTAAAACATACAACACTCGAGAAACCTTGTTAACATCAGTACCCTTCAAATTGAAATAGCAGTGAGTTTGACAGCTCAAAAACATACATACCCCACACAGAATCCCAAAAATCAAATGACCAACCATACAAAATGGTTCATTTGATGCCGTTACGATTCTCTTTCGAGCTTCGGGGAAACCAAAATGGCTACTATAATGCGGTAAACTTTTGAACTGGATTTACTTTCCGTGTGAAAATGAAAAATATTCTCTATATATTTTTGGACAAAAATGGACTAACGAGAAACCATCAACACAATGTAACTCAAATGCGTCGTTTCTTCTTCTCCGGTGTATCGTGCACTTGAGCTTTAACTCCGTAGACTTTTAGTTGAAAATTTTCAAATGCCTCTGAGACAGCTGCCACCTGTTTGTGAGTACATAGAAAGGAACAAATTATTTTGGAAAAGATAAGTATAACAAGCAAATAATAATTTCATTTGAATTCACGGACCAATTCAGGTTTCTTCGAATACACCCTCACTATCATATCCTGATAAGATGTAGGCAGCAAGTGACTGATGCGATCATCTGGTATGGGGAACTTCTCCTCACTCTCATAATCCTGGCCGCAAAATTAATCCTGTC